CCTTCAAAACAGGCATATGTAACAAATGAAATGTTTGCAGTATTCCTCTTAAACCCTAAATGTAAATTCTCGTATAATTTTCAAGGATTTTGGTTTGGCGCAGGTTCGATCACGAGCTGACATCAGTTACAAAACCATTGGGAAACCAGAGAGTACTGGACAGCTGTTTCGCCCTTGTTTGAGGGTCTTCAGCAGTGATTCATCGAGCATCAAACCCAAAATCTCCTGGTTACAAGACGAGCTCAATCCAATGACCCGTGATAACCATCTTCCAATTCGTGATTTATATATATTAAAAATCCAGGACTTTTACCTGATGAAGCTAAGCCTCTTGGCCTAGAGTCCAATGACCCATGAATTTTAACACCTGTCAATTCGCCAATGTCGTTAGCGAACATCTGTTCTCACATCCGACCTGGTGAACCTCAGTGGTCATGACTTCTCACTTGCACTGCAGATAACTTCGTCCTGTAGCCAAAAGTGATGAAGAGTCGCAAACTAGGACGAAACAGTTCTCCATGGTTCTCAATGTTTCTATAACTGACATCAATCCATGGCCAAACTTGATACAAACTAATTCTTGAAAATATCACTTTTATGTTTCTTTTTTTGTTTTGTACAAAAATCAATCAAGGTGTTAATCGATAAAGACGTTTTCTTCAACTACAACACCACCACCAACAAAAACTTACTTCAAAACTAGCACAATGAAATATTTCAGAGATATAAACATTATCATTTGGTGAACTGGCCATATTAGATAAATTGGCGGACATAATATCAAATGCATCATTGATATTCATGCGTTGTAATAACTTTTTAATACTAATTAAATCATTGAATTTTATGCATAGCTTAGGTATGTATAAATTCAATTTTAATGAATAAAATGGTGATTCTATTAATTTTACAAATCCATTTGTACGACGCAGTGTATTGATTAACTCTGGTAGACCATTCTCTTCATCTGGTAATAAAATCAATACTGTCCATCTACAAAACAAGAATTTATAGTTATCAAGACTTAAGAAACGAGTGAGTTTATCTATGCATTTTTGACTGAAAAAGGTCTTCATTGTTCGATAGCAAAGATAAAACAGTGCTACTATTTAGTTATTATTGACTGACAGTAAAATGTTTTGTGGCCAAGTGGCCCAGTGGGAAACTCTTTAGCGTTTAAAACGATGGGGCGCTGAATTTGACTCCCGTTGAGAACAATATCATTTGCTCACTGTCAATAGAGACAGAGCACTCTGGTCCAGTGAAATCAATCAGCAGAAATTTTAAAATTGATGATTTTGTTAAATGAGAAGAAAATAATACTTAACAGATATTTTTATGGGCTATCCTTGAACAGAAAAACTTGAAACACGTCATAAATGATGCGTCTTTTTAAATAGATTTCCGAAAATCTGAATCGTACTCATTTCGCTCAGTTAGTGCAGAAGATTTCCAATGGGATTTCAGAGTGATGAAGGCATTCCAACTCCGACCTTGACATCTCCATCCGTTCCACCTGTAGTTGAAACGACGCTTCCCAGATAAGTGAAGTCAGGAAGTAGCCTCTCCCGTTGATAGTGATTGATGCTGGTTGTTGTTGCTGTGGGATGGCTGGTTGGTTATCTTCCTCACCTCCGTCTTCTCTATATTCACCTGAAGTCCTGTCTCCTCGGAGTGCTTCTTCAGCTAGTTTGTTGATTTTCACATTCAGGTCTTTGCTTTTGTGTGACATTAAAACATAAATCATCCACATGCGAAATCCATACCTTCTAGAGTTTTCTTATCGGTGGTCCAGCGCATTACTGTCTTCTCGGATTTTCAGCACAAATCTTAATTCAGTCAGTTAGTCTACATGGGTCAGAAACTTGCACCGCGCTTTACCAAAAGCATTTCTAATATGTTGCAGAATTTTATCAACAGTTGCCTACCTCTCTTCGTATTGGAGATAAAACAGCGACGAAAAACTATGGGAACAAACTAATCAAGAATCCATCCCTCAAACAATATACTGAAGAAAACAGAGATAGATGGGACACACGCTGGGGAGACGTTGAATGACATTGCACTCCAGTTCATCTCTCAAGTGGATTTCGAATGGGCAGCGATGAGTTGGTAGTTGGTCGGAGGAAGAGATGAGAGAATAGGGGCGATTGTAGGGTCAACTAAATAGGACCTCAAAGAATTGAAAGAAGTAGAGATGTGCTGTCGAGGCCCTACTTCCACTCGGAACCCAGGGAGACAGTAATAGTAATAATAGCAATGAAATATAGATTTCATTATGTGGAATATGAACAGAATGGAAAGTTTATATTTTCCGGATCTCGGAAATTAATGAACTACAGATATAAGCAGGTAAAGATATTTTCATGATTAAAAAATATTGGAATGGACGATATCTCGATGTCAGTAGCTTTTGTGCAATAAGCGACAAAAAGGTCTGATTCGGGCATTATGCTACCGCACTGAAAAACTTTGTTCGAAAGAAAGTTTTAATAATGAGCTCACTATCATTGGAAAGAATGTGAAGCCAGTGCTACTATACGGATCAGAGACTTGGCCAGCGCGTCATAAAGAGCACATCAAACAAACTACAGACCTTCATCAACAGCTAGTTGTCTTCGCTCAATACTCAAGATTAGACGGCCGGCCAGAAAAGATCAACAACAGGGATCTCTGGCAATGAGCGAACCAACTTAACAGGAACCGATTGTGAAACAAATAGGCAGGAAGAAATGGAGATGGATTGGCCATACTCTGAGGAAACAATGCATCAAGTGACATCACTAGACAAGGCATTGCTCAAGTGGAACCCGAAAGGGAAGTGGCGAGTTGGTCGTCAGTGCAAGGGTGACTTGGAGGAGGCCATATGAAGAGGAGATGAAAACGTGTGGGCAGACTTGGAGCCAGGTGAAGACTGTAGGAGAGAACCGAACGTAGTGGAGACGCACGGTTGAAGCCCTATGTTCCTCCAGGAATTAAAGGAAACAATAATAATGATAATAATCATTGGAAAGTGCTTACGAGACAGTGGATATCCTCAAAAGTTGATTGATAAACACAAAAGAATACAAAAATGTAAAAGTAACACTCGATACAGTAGAGAAGGAACCAGTTTTCCTTAATCCTGGATTCAAAGGTTATGACGTATCTGGAAGAAAGAATTATTGAATAAATGCTGCTTGCAAATGAATTTACCCAACTGCCAGAATAAAATGCTCAGTAATACAATCTAAGATTGATAATCCCCTCTTTTTCATGTGACCTCCGACTGAGTATATCAATTCATATGTACGTGCTAACGCACATATATTGGATGAACAGAAAGAAGGATTCGTGTCGTTATATCTATGTCTGAAAGGTGCAAAAGTGCATAATACTGAGAGGTCATGAAACTGATGCATTGGAAACCTTTAATTAAGATCTAAGAAAGCTTTAGTTGGCTGCATAATACTGAAGTGATTGCAATTAAATGCTCAAAACCAAATTTATGCATCCAACAGGAAATTGTTGGTGTCAATGCTAATTTACCTTGATAAATGTACTTCACCTTATGTAATTGTTTTTGTTAATTTTTTAAAATCTTAATCATGTTACGTTTTGACAATGTAATTTCCTAATCCAATTATGTTTTTATCTATATTTCTGATAAGACGGACAAGGATGTCAAATCGAGAATCGGGAAGGCGAGAAACACAATCATCAACCTGAAACCAATCTGGAAATCTTCGTCACTCCTCAGCATCAACAACAAAATGATTCGGATTTTCAATACAAACGTCAAGTCAGTCAGTTCTTCCATACGGATGAATCAGAAATTTGGCCAGCGGGTCACAAAGAATATTTCCAACAGCCTGTTGCAGACCTTTATCAACAACCGTCTTCACTCTATACTGAAGATCAGATGGCCGGAAAGAATCACCAACAAGAAACTATGGGAACAAACAAAACAAGAACCAATCGCCCAACAAATATGCAGGAGAATGTGGACATGGATTGGACACTCGCTGAGGAGGCCGCTGGGTGACATCGCACGTCAGGACAACGCCCGAGTGGAACCCGAAAGGGAAGCGGCGAGTGGGACGTCAGTGCAAGGGTGACATGGAGGAGATTGTGTGAAGAAGAGTTCAAACAGTATGGACTAACATGGATGCAGGTGAAAAGTACAGCAGGAGACGGAAGCAAGTGGAGGCGTGCAGTTGAAGCCCTATATTCCACTAGGAACCCAAGGGAACAATAATAATAATACTTGAGCCTTACATAAGTGTATTGTTGATTTTAGGCCTCTGTTCACTTCGTAACATTCGTTTGTAATTCTAGAATATTTTCTGCTAATTTATATACAATGCGTACTATTTAGCTTGCCAACAGCTTGTATTCCTTTTCATTATGTTGCTTTATCACGTGATATTAATATCCATCATTTTTATCATCAATAGCTACAGTATTTGAATATTTTGTATGCTGATACCTAAATTATTTATTCATGGGTGTACACAGATGAAAAGATCCAACGAAATATAATGAATGACGTTACTTTCTGCTATACGATATGTCTATTTTTTTTGCTATGTTAAAACTTATCAAGGGAAACAATTATATGAAATATTACTGTTTAGTATTTTAGTGAGATAATCTTTCTAACTGTTATTTTAGAAAAAATGTACATAGAATGATTTCAATGCTGTCCACTGAAAACAGAAGCTGTCAGTCAACCCCAACACAACTATAAAATAGAAATTTTCACTAGGTCTTGTCGTAACTGCAGAACACAGTAGTCCACGGCAACGGAATTATTTATTGGCGACTCAAGATACAGATTTAGATATACTATGTCTTGATGATGTATTAGATGGTTGGAGTCAATCGTCCACAGGAAGCCTTGCTAGACCTAGGTTTCGTGCTAGTTGGCAGTCGTCAGCAAGGCGTATCTGCAACCTTGAAGGAGCTCATGTCCCCTCTGAGATTCGAACCCGCGTCACTAGTTACTAGTGTCCAGTCGAAGTATCCAATACAGTCCTAAAGGAAGGAGGTTAATCGCGAGCCTGAATAGCTCAGTGGTAACGTCTCTGACCACCGCACTGAGTGATGGGGATACAAATCTCAGAAGGGACATAAGTTCCTTTAAGGTGGTTTCAGATACGCCTTCTTGCTGACTGGGGAATGGCAACTAGCACGAAATCTAGGTCAAGCAAGGCTTCCTGCAGACTGAATCGAACCATCTAATGTATCATAAAATTAACGTGCACCGTGGTGGCGAGCTACCTAGAATGGTGGCCATATTGCAAACCTGACTGACAGAATTCAGTCTGCACCAAACAAATGACTAGACACATCACACTAGTCAGTAGTATCCAATCAAAGTATAAACTATTTCTACCATATTTCAGAATCTCAATTAGTACATTTCTTCAGTAGTGCGTTACTTTTATCCTCCATACTGTGTTTCTTTGTCTTCCTTTTATGTTATGCATGTTCAATCATTCTCTTCACCATTAAATCCATCTCCGCCGTTCGATATTCTTGAAGGTGATATAAATATTTATAGGCTTATCTATATACTACTTATAAGTGTTGTCAGTAGCACACACCACAATGTGATTGAATAATTGCTAAAAATTTTGAATCCTTGGGACACGATAATTTACGTATCAATTGGCAGAAATCCTTCGACATACGTGTCTGTGCTGTCTTGTAATTCAATTCAGAAATAATTTCCGTAAGCACTACTAACTACAACTTGTACGCGGGATCAGGCTAGAATAAAGAGGATTGTAACAAAAGTGATGTATTGGTCAAATAACTGAAATTCAGATGTGCAGTCAGACGGACAACAGAAGTAGTCACAATAGTAGTAGCACTGTTAACTCAAGTACACAGTATTAACAAAACTGTAACCAGAAATAAACAAGCCCAAATGACTGATTGTTTCCTGAACACAATAAAAAAGTGAATGTAAGAATATTTACAACTCATCACACTTCCATGTATTTCAGCGCTCATCACTAGCCCTTAGGATACTGATGCGGACAAGATTTGAACCTGTTAAGACGCTAAGACAACCAGGTATCATTCAGTG